CAGGCGCTGCCGGCTCCCGAGCCCTTGGAACAATCGGGAGAGTTCAGGGAATGCGGGAAGAGCCGGGATGGTGACGTTCCTTGGCACCAAGGAGAAATCCTACTGGGAATGAAGGCTTGGGATTGGGATTTAAAGAAATCCTACTGGGAATGAAGGCTCGGGATTGGGATTTCAAAGAAATCCTACTGGGAATGAAGGTTTGGGATGGGATTTTAAAGAAATCCTACTGGGAATGAAGGCTCGGGATTGGGATTTTAGGGAAAATGTGGAATTCCGGCCAAGGGTGGCTCGGCTGGAATGTGGAAGTCATTCCCAGTGGCTCTGGGACACTCGGAGGCATTTTAAGGACGCTGGGGACAAATCCATGGATGGGAATGTCATGGAATGCCGTGGGTGGGAAGGGATTAAATCCCACTATCCCAGGGTGCTCCAGTGCCCACCCAACCTGGCCTGGAACATTCCCAGGATCCAGAGGCAGCTCCAGCTTCTCTGGGAATTCCACCCCGGCCCCTCCCGGGGGAAAATTCCTTCCCAGGATCCCACCCAAATCCTGTTTTCCATTCCCTGTGTCCTGACCCTTCGTCCCTTCCCAGGGAACCTTTTCCTGCTTGTTTTTTCCAGGGCGAGGGGAAGAGCATTCCCAGCTGGAATGAGCCGGGAATCGCTGCTGATCCAAGGTTTTCCATGGGTTTTCCATGGTTTGCTGGAAAACAGGGATGGGAACGCCGGTGCCGCACTGACACCTCATGGAGAAATCGCTCCTTGCAATTCCAGCTCTCCTGGGACGGATTTTTGGGATAAACGCTCGGATTTTCCTGCCCAATTTGTCCTGATAAAGGTGGTTGGGATAAAGGGATATTTCCCTGGAATTAAAGGGAATGAGACCGGGATCTGCCCGGGAAAACCNATCCCGCTGCTCCGTTCCCTTGGAGCGGCCACTCGGCAGCTCCCATCAGCTGAGGATATTCCCATTTTCTCCGTCCTTTCCATAATTCCGAAGGACGGAGCCAATTGCCTCTGCCAGGCTGACGGATGGGAGCCGACAGCGGCGCTTCCCGTTGGGATTATTTCTGGGAATTCGCACCGGGACGGCTCCGACAGGCGCTGCCAGCTCCCGAGCCCTTGGAACAATCGGGAGAGTTCAGGGAATGCGGGAAGAGCCGGGATGGTGACGTTCCTTGGCACCAAGGAGAAATCCTACTGGGAATGAAGGCTTGGGATTGGGATTTAAAGAAATCCTACTGGGAATGAAGGCTCGGGATTGGGATTTCAAAGAAATCCTACTGGGAATGAAGGTTTGGGATGGGATTTTAAAGAAATCCTACTGGGAATGAAGGCTCGGGATTGGGATTTTAGGGAAAATGTGGAATTCCGGCCAAGGGTGGCTCGGCTGGAATGTGGAAGTCATTCCCAGTGGCTCTGGGACACTCGGAGGCATTTTAAGGACGCTGGGGACAAATCCATGGATGGGAATGTCATGGAATGCCGTGGGTGGGAAGGGATTAAATCCCACTATCCCAGGGTGCTCCAGTGCCCACCCAACCTGGCCTGGAACATTCCCAGGATCCAGAGGCAGCTCCAGCTTCTCTGGGAATTCCACCCCGGCCCCTCCCGGGGGAAAATTCCTTCCCAGGATCCCACCCAAATCCTGTTTTCCATTCCCTGTGTCCTGACCCTTCGTCCCTTCCCAGGGAACCTTTTCCTGCTTGTTTTTTCCAGGGCGAGGGGAAGAGCATTCCCAGCTGGAATGAGCCGGGAATCGCTGCTGATCCAAGGTTTTCCATGGGTTTTCCATGGTTTGCTGGAAAACAGGGATGGGAACGCCGGTGCCGCACTGACACCTCATGGAGAAATCGCTCCTTGCAATTCCAGCTCTCCTGGGACGGATTTTTGGGATAAACGCTCGGATTTTCCTGCCCAATTTGTCCTGATAAAGGTGGTTGGGATAAAGGGATATTTCCCTGGAATTAAAGGGAATGAGACCGGGATCTGCCCGGGAAAACCAGGAGATCTTGGAGCTGCAAGTCCAACATTTCCCCTTCAACCTCCGCCCTTTGCCGAGGCTTTGGAGGACAATAAAATAAAAATCCAAATAGAAATAAAACCAGAATTAAAATTAAAAGAATTAAAATAAGAAGAAAAATTTCGAAAATAAAATAAAATAAACAATTAAAATTAATTTAAAATAAAAATTTAAAAAATGAAAATAGAAATAAAATCAAAATTAAAAGAACGAAAACAAGAAGAAAAACGTCTTAAAAATAAACATTTAAAATTAATTAAAATAAGAATAAAAATAGAAATAGGATTTTAATTAAAATTAATTAAAATAATAAGAAAAATTTTAAAAGAAAAAGAAAATTTAAAATTAAAATTAATAAAAAATAAGAATGAAAACAAAAATAAAAGTAAGGGAGGCTCGGGAAGCGGCGCCATTCCCGTGGTTTTCCTGCCCCATCTAGCGGCGCTCCGGGACAGAGCTGCTTCCCACGGATCCAGCCAGGAGCTCTTGGAATTCCTGAGGGGCTGGAAAAGCTTTCCCTGTCCCACCCCGAGCTCTGGAATCCCAGCAGGGCGAGGAGCGGGAGAAATTCCAGAGGAGATCCCAGAGCTCCTCTGCTCTGCCCTGGAGCCAGCCTGGGAGAGCTGGGAATGTTCCCTGGAGAAGGGAAGGATCCAGGGA